GTACTGCGTCCAGCTCTGGGGCCCTTGACATAAGAATGAAGGATATCAACCAGTTGGAGCAAGTCCAGAGGAGGCCACAAGGATGCTCAGAGGGCTGGAGCACCTCTGCTATGGAGACAGGCTGGGAGAGTTGGGCTTGTTCAGCCTGGAGAAGAGAAGGCTCCGGGGAGACCTTAGAGCAGCCTTCCAGTACCTGAAGGGGCTACAAGGAAGCTGGGGGGGACTTTTTACAAGGGCCTGTAGTGACAGGACAAGGGGGAATGGGTTTAAATTGAAAGGGGGGAGGTTTAGATTAGATATCAGGAAGAAGTTCTTCCCGAAGAGGGTGGTGAGGCACTGGGACAGGTTGCCCAGAGAAGCTGTGGATGCCCCATCCCTGGAAGTGTTCAAGGCCAGGCTGGATGAGGCTTTGAGCAACCTGGTCTAGTGGAAGGGGTCCTTGCACATTTCATTCCTTGCCCATGAAATTGCAATACCCAGTGAACTATTATAGAATTGCCAGTTTGGAACATTTGCCTTCAAATAACAGAAAGTGTTCTGACTCCACTAAAGATGTAAATAAAAATAAATGCAACAATATGACACCAAAGAAAATAGGGGAGCAATTTGTCTGTTTCTCATATCAGACATATGCAATATTCCTCCAAAAGATGCAGGAGGTACCTTTGTCTGGAATACTAACAATGCTCCATCAGATGAGAGACTGGGAGTGCAGAAGCATCTGGCAGTGGATTTTATACAAACGAACAAACAAAAAAATTGGATTTGTTTCTCCGCTTAATATTTAAGTGTTGATTGATATGTGGGCTAAAGTCCTAACGCATGACATAGACACTGATGTGCAAAGTTTCAAGCATGTTTTTTGAAGAGCATAGGTAAAATTGGTCTGATGTTTACTTGAATTCTACAGGTAAATTTCAACTTTGATAGTATTTGGGGTCCCTGCCAAGTTTTGCTGAAATCGGGTTTTTATGATGAAAAAAATCACTTACATTTTTTTTTGGCAAATATCGTTTAACACTATTCTTACAGGGAAGGAAGCATCCTGAATAGTTCCACTGAAATCTGATTTTTTTAATCTAAAACTACCTTATCATACACATACTTCTTGCAGGACTGTATACTATGCAAGGGTCTAAACTCCACTTAGGCATTTCTTTTTATCACCTGATCTCTTCCAAAGCTTTAAGAAATACAGAGGTAGTGATAACCAGAATCCTGTTGAATGGGGAGCAGGGGGCATGTTTATTTTTCAGTATTCTGTTGTCAGACTAATGCAATCAGTGTTTCAACACCTGCAAATAAAACATAAAGCAACCACTTCGTAACACCCGTTAACGCCTGCCAGCATCACCGCAATTAAAGAACCTTATCACAATGGAAGAGGATAATTTCAGTCAAGAAAATTAACTTAATATTCTGCATTTATAAGTGGGGTGGGTTTTTTTTATTCTTCCCACCTTATATATTAACAAAGCCCCAGTTATTGCTATTCAAGACTGGTGTGCTTTTTGTATTTACTGCACAGCTGCTGACAACATCATCTTTTCTGGTCACACATCACTGGGGCTAAGCTATGACAATTAGCAACAGCTTATTTGAAGTAACTGCGCAATTTTCAGTATTTGTAATTATATTTAGAGTCTCTCACTACCAGTATGAGTTCTGCCAGAGTGGTGGTGATCTGGTGTCCCTTATGACGTGAGGTAGTGACCACTATCCATATCTAAACAATATATCAACAAACAGTGCATTGCGGTTAATGTATTTGTTTTTCATTTAAAGAGTGAAAACTTTAATTGGCATCAGGGCAGCCTTCTGATGTAGCAGTAGTTCTTAGGTGTAGTTCCTCTTCATCAAGGTGAAAGCCACCTGTGAAGAGTGTAGGAAACCTGAATACTGTTAACTCCTTACCTTGTTCTGAGAGAAGCAGAAAAAAATCTGACTTTTATTGATTTGATACCTTTTACACACAGTGAATAATCTCTACTTTTTCCTAGGGAACGAACAAGAAAATTATTTCTTAAATTTATTCTTTATTTAATAAGGGTTTTTTTCCTGTGTCTTTATGCAAATACTTTACATATGCATCTTGGATATCTTTTGAATACTCAGTGAGTACTCATTTGAAGGATAGTGATATTTGCTGTTTCATTTTTAATAGTATGCGCTGGACAGTGACCGAGACAAGTTGTTATATTTTCTGCAGTGTAAATCCACGAAACATTTAAAGAAGCAAGAGACAGAAGAGACTCGCTGTGTTTGGGTTCTATCTAATCAGACCTAGACTTATGTCTTGGTGACCCACCTGTGTTTGGGTTCTATCTAATCAGACCTAGACTTATGTCTTGGTGACCACGAGGTGGAGCACTACGTTAACATACTGCGGGTGAAGCTGCTCCAGCTGAATTGTTTATTGTTAGGAATGTTTTAAAGTTAACATGAGAAGAGATTAAAACATAGTTATATAGTTCTAGTATTTTGTTTTACTTTAGTGCCAGGAGTGCTAAGCACAACTGAATAAGGCATCTGAGAAGAGATTTCATACCCAAACATTTCCAAACTGGATTTAAAAAAAAAAAAAAAGTTGGCACAGACAGATCTAGTAACTCTATAGAAGGAGCAACAACATTCTTAGTAAAATAACAGTGTGGCTTATCATGCTCTCTTCCAGTTCACCCTTGATCGCATTCCCAGGAGCCGTGAGGTTAGACAATCTTGGACCTCCTCTGTGGTAACAACCCTGTATTCCATACTTTACTCCATTCCTTTGACCTACAAACTGAAACCAGATTTGGTAGGTAAATTTTAATTTCTTGAGGACTTTCTAATCTGCATCATAAAAGCATTTGGAATATCAAGACATTGCAGACTGTATCTGATACATATGCTTTGATTTACAGTTCATAGGAAACATATTTTTGAATGTAAAATTAAAGCTGAAAGCAGCAATACACCAAGAAAGAGAGAACAGGTTGCACTGCTGGTGAATTAGAGTAGCAAATACCAGTTTTCCCTCTCAAAGTTTGCAGGTAACATCAGAGACTCTGTCACTCCCCTGTTAATGCAGGTAGAGCTAGCACAGATTTGCAGGTTCTTGATAATATCTCTTCAGGATTGGAACAGCACAAATTGTGCCTGAAAGACTGGTTATCCTGTTGGCTGGTCTTGCTTCTGAAATGGTATGACCAGTCTGGAACAGACAGGTTCAGACCAGCAGAAATATATACAGACTCACTTCTTGTGCTTACATGGACTTTTCAGCTACATGCATATTTATTTAGTCTTTGGCTGACTGACATTAATTATGTGCAAAGCTTTCAACACCATCCCGCACAACATCCTTGTCTCTAAATTGGAGAGGCATGGATTTGACGCTTGGACCGCTCAGTGGATAAGGAACTGGCTGGATGGTCCCACTCAGAGTGTTGTGGTCAATGGCTCAATGTCGGAGTGGAGACCAGTAATGAGCAATGTTCCACAGGGGTCGGTGTTGGGACTGGTGCTGCTTAACATCTTTGTCAGCAACATGGACAGTGGGATCAAGTGCACCCTCAGCAAGTTTGCCAACGACATGCTAGAGGGAAGGGATGCCATCCAGAGGGACCTTGAGAGGCTGGAGAGGTGGGTCTGTGCCAACCTCATGGAGTTCAACAAGGTCAGGTGCAAGGTCCTGCACAAGGGTTGGGGCAGGTTGCAGCCTTCCAGTACCTGAAGGGGCCTACTGAAAGCAGGAGGGGGACTTTTTACAAGGGCCTGTAGTGATAGGACAAGGGGTAACGGGTTTAAATGAAAATGGGTAGATTTAGATTGGATATCAGGAAAAAATTCTTCATGGAGAAGGTGGTGAGGCACCGGAACAAGTTTCCCAGAGAAGCTGTGGATGGCCCATCCCTGGAAGTGTCCAAGGCCAGGCTGGATGAGGCTTTGAGCAACCTGGTCTAGTGGAAGGTGTCCCTGCCCATGGCAGAGGGTTGGAACTGGATGGTCTTTAAGGTCCATTCCAACCGAAACCATTCTATGATTTTATGCTCTTATCTAATGACAAAACACTTCACTGTTGAAGTGGCAACTTATCGCACTGCAGTAACTTTTTCAAGCTGTTCACTGTGCTCTCATGCTAATTACAACATTTATTTAAAAGTATTCTGCACACTACAAGTCCGAGTCATTCAGGGTTGTCAGATTATAGAAATAAAATAGAGATATCAGTAAAGTTTTGTGTTAATGCAAGACTCAAAGTAGTGCAGTGGACTCCCAAGGTGTGAGTCCTACAATTCTTTAGGAGAAATTTTGGTTCAAGCTGGCTTTTTGCTAGAGTTATCATCTTAAGGAGTCAGTTATCCAAACCTGAGGGTTTTTTAAAAAAAGTATTATTTTAGCAGAATTTCAAATTAATATTTCACTGATTTTAAAATATTTTAATGAAACCTGTAAAAGCTGTGCAGTTGCAAGATATTTTTCACAGTCTAGTAGCAGCGTATGTATACACACCCACAGAGGAAGTTTGTAAGCAGACTTTTTTAGTTCTCACTGTGAACTGTATGGCTAATTCTAAAGAGGCGCTTATATATATTTGTAGCATTTTGAATATTTAGAAGCTGCTGTGAATAATTTGATCTCATTGGCTTCAGTGGTTCTGGTCAGTTCCAATCAGATCAGAAGCTACTTCCTTGCTGGAGTTTTCAGAGCAGTTCAGTGTGCAGAACAACAGAAGTAGCATTTTGCAGTTCTTGTTTTTCAAGACCATTCTGAAAACTGGAGATTAAGTTTGGAGGGAAGAGGAGATGGCATACTATTCTTTTTAAACTGATTTAAATTTGGGTGGAGGAGGAAAATAGTAGAATGATGTTTTTACATGAAGCAGACATAGAATCATAGAATAGTTTGGCTTGGAAGGGACCTCAGAGATCATCTAGTTCCAACCCCCTGCCATGGGCAGGGTGTCTTACAGCAAAGGTGAGTAACAAATAATTAGGAATCACATTGCTACACCACTGGTTTCATTTAATGTATATACTTTTTCCAACTTTTTCAAAAGAAATTGACTGGAAAAATCTCACTGTGTAGCTTAATATATCACCAAAACATCAACAGGACATATCATAGGAGAAGAGCAGGAAGTTACTAATCTAATTCCGTGGTTTCTGTGTTTACAAGTGTAATTTAAAATGACAGTGCAATTTGCATGAAGGATTATAGAAACTGTGTTGAAGTTGATATACTGTGATAAGCTGTCAAAAATCTAATGCTTTTGAAAACACACTTGGCCTTGTAAAATTAAGAATACATTTTCATAAGGCCTTTAAGCCCTTTGTAACATTTAAGGCAACCACTGGCTCAAAATGTTATCCAAAGGGTCCTTATCCATAATTAGAGAAGGGCTGGAGAGGAGGGTGTTTCCAAATATATTTTGCCAGGTACTCTCATCAACCACAATAGCAGCTGGTACTGCCACTGGCAGAAGCATCTCTGGAATTATGCCAGACCTTATACCACTTGAAATCTGCTTGCATACTACTACTTTTATGCATATCTTAAGTTTAAGAAGCCTAAAAAGTCAGGGAGCTGTTAAGATTTTAAAACACTTAAAGGAGAATGATTTGGGAATTAAAATGCCTCACATTGCCAGTGAAAAGATTCTGTGTAGTATGTGAAGCAACTGCTAATACTTAATTGCCTTTAGAAGAAAATGTTAGTAGTAAATGACAACTCTCCCTATTCTTGGCAAAATGTAGTTTAAAGAATTAGAAAGGATGGGACAAATGCTAGCATTTACAGGATTCATCTATTTTGGCATGGAAATCAACACCTGAGTTTAGAAATAAGCACTGTATTACATCAGGCTGAGAGCTTCATGTTTTTAAACAGCAGCGCTTACAGGTACTGTACATTTTCAGTCTAGGCAACGGGTTTTGTTAGCTGCAGGAGGGAGACAAAATTTTTAATTGCTTCTAAGTCATCTGTACATTTGAGTGGTCCCCAAATCCCTAAACTCTGGTTTAGGCTTGTCAGAAATGTGTGCATGTTTGAAGGAATAACCAAAGTCTTCTCCAGATATTCAAGAGCTAGAGAAAAGCAGAAATGTTGCATATACATTTTTCAAGAAGTGCAGGACAAAAGTACTGCACAGGGAGCCTGAAACCATTAGATGCACAAAGGCAAGATTTGGAACAGATAGGCTTGGGTTGGCCTAGCTAGCATATCTGTCTAGCCAAAATAGCTGTAAAGAGGAAACAGCAAGCCTAGCTGCACAGGAGTTCCTTTATATGTGCTTATTTACATGAGCACTGTGTCCCCTTTGTATCTCACACTCATCTTCTGACAAAGCTTACTTTGCATGACAAAGCAGTTCCATGAAACCCTTCTTCAAGATAGTTCAGAAAGAACTGAACAACTTCCAGGAGTCTTTGCTGTCTTGCAGGACTTGGCCCACACTTGAAACAGCCCCTAGAGATTTTAAGAAATGTCAAAGTTAGCTTAGCTGTTCAGTTCGAGATCATCTTCGAGAGGCCCGGTCCTGAGTTACGAACATCTGCGCTCTGCAAAGTTAAGTCCGTTCAGAGACATTAAACCAAGTAACAAAATTAAGATACCAGGAGTGATGATCAGCTTGTGTTCCTGTAGCCAAAATTACAGAAGCATCGGTGTCAGAGTGGCTTGCAGGCATGCCTGTGCTGGGCAGTTTTTACATGTCAACCTTAGGCTTCCTGTGCAGAGGCCTGAAGTTCTAGGAAAGCAAGACTTGACCCAGCACACTCTACCTACACCTTCCTTCCACCAGAAAAGCTTTTAAAGCTGTTCCTCAGTTGCAGCCAGATTTAATATGCAGGCATAGCCTCAAGACTGCAAATTCCTACCATGAAGACAGGCAGCTGGTCAGAGAAGAGAGACTTCTTGCCTTCACTGAGAGAAAAGCTGAGAAGAAACGTAAAACCATAATACAGTGTTCGGAGATTACCATCTAAGGAAGGATGCAAATACTTCTTAGACAGTTACAGAAAATGAGACAACCTGCACAGAGGTTTTTTGCCCAAAGATAGAATTCTGAATCTTACACAGATTATTTGATGGCCAAGAAGGAATAAACTACTCTTACAGCCTTCCTATAATGTTCTCGATTCAGTCAGTCAGTACAAGTTCATAGGAAACTGGTCTTCAGTTCTCTTGCTGCTTATAGGACTATTGTCCTCGTTGTCTCTGGGCTGATTTGCCAACCCTGAAACAAGGCCTTTGGTGATCTAGCCCTTTGGCTGTGTGGTGATTATTCCAGTCATTTTGGCATACCTGAAATTCAAACTGAAAACAAAGGATATGTGTGCACCACACAGCAGAAAGCTGTACAGTTTGTATCCACGCCTTTTTTTCAGCCATAGATGGGCTGTGTAATTAGGTCAGCTCTTTGCTCTCCTTTAATGTAATTAAATTTCACCTAGAATTGTGCAGAAATGGTGCTTAAAGCTCCATTTGTTAGTGGATTGTGCATCCTGGAATCTTAGGACTGGATTGTTTTTGCTTTTCTGGGGACACCTCTCAGCAGTTCCTACTGCCTCGGTGCTTTACAGAGCCCGAGATAAACAGAGATTTTAGATCACTGCTACTTGGAAAAGCCTGGGTTAAATCAGGCAGAGGCGGCAGTCTTTCCACGTTAGGGCCTGCTTCCCATGGGAAGTCTGTAGTAAGAAGTTTACATTTGCACAGCAAGTACAACAAGCTCTGCCTTCTCCTTCCCCACCAGCTGTCAGCTGAGGCGGCAGCTGAATGGGTCTCCCATTTTTAAAGTTCTTTCTGGAAGCC